GACTTGAATAGAAACTGCAGTGTAAGACTCAATGAGGTGGAGTTTTTCAGGTTTTGACATAATGTCTGTGGCATGATGGATTCTGAAAGAAATTCCGACTCATTCCACGAACACAGCACTTTTCTCAGCTGTGCTGCTTGTGGAAAAGTTGACAAGAACTCTTGAAATTATCATTCAGCCTGGAAAAATGTTGTATTTTGCATGTGTCTGAGAAGTTTGCAAAGACCAAGAAGTTTCACAGAGTAGTGCGTTTTTGATGTTGTTTTTTATGTCACGCATGGAATTTTGACACTATGATCTGCATTTACAGTATGAACTGATTGTTTGTGTGTTGTATGTTAAGTCTTATTCATCTCTGACTGCTGTTGTGCTTCTCAGAGATCTCATTTCGTGTCTGGCAGTGCGGAGGCAGCCTGGAGATCATTCCCTGCAGTCGAGTGGGTCATGTCTTCAGGAAACAGCATCCATACACTTTCCCAGGGGGCAGCGGCACTGTGTTTGCTAGGTATCCACCAAATTATAATATATTTTAACTTTTTGTTTACATAAAAGTTTTTATTTTCCCACTTACAAAGCATGTAGAAGTCTGTAATTTCTTCATCATAGGTACTCTTCAACTGTGAGTGACGGAATCTAAAACAAAAATTCAGAAAATCGCATTGTATGATTTTTAAGTAATTAATTTGCATTTTATTCCATGACATACAGTGGTACAGTGCTGTATAGCTAAAGAACACAATCTTTTATTTATCTTATGTTTTGTGATTGTTGAGGCCAAATAGACCCTTTAGTAGGGTGGTTCACTTGCTCCATCCAGTGGGTGAATCCAGCACTGCAGCCAGTGATAAGTGGGCTGTTGTGAGGCAGTGCAGTTGAAAATTAAAGTGACATTCTGTCATAATTATAAAGCTCCCTGTTATGGGCTCCAGAAGGTCCATTAGTGTTGAAGTTAGATTTAGGAGTAATGTAGTGGACATGTTATGGTCATTAGCAGAGCCTCAGTACTGCTATATAAAATGTGTAATTTACTCTCATCTGCTTGTTTGTCTTTACAGGAACACGAGGCGAGCGGCAGAAGTTTGGATGGACGATTATAAGAATTTCTACTACGCTGCTGTGCCCTCAGCCCGTAATGTGCCCTATGGCAAGTAAGTGTGTATCTGTCTTAATTAACAAATATTATTCATAAGAGAAAAGCTTGAAACAGAGTAGCTATCTTTAACATAATAACAGCCACTGAAGAATAATATAAAACATCAGTCGTCAAACATTTAGACCCTTGAAAAGCACTCCTCATGACTAACTTTCCTCATTATTTGCAGCATTCAAAGCAGGCTGGAAATGAAGAAGAGGTTAGGCTGCAAACCATTTAAGTGGTACCTGGACAACGTCTATCCTGAGTTACGGTGAGTGTATGACAGGGGAATAATAAAAAAAGCTTTTGGATCAATTTGGCCTTGTTTACATGTGCTACAGTATTATAATCTTAAAGTGGTCTATGAAGTTTTGTGCATAAATGTGTATGAGCTTCAGATGCTCATGATTCAGATTTACTGTACATAACCAGCCTTTTAACCCCTTTTATTGGCACAATGATTGATTAAAAGGCGAGTAGGTGTTTCTTTTTGTGTTAACACTACAAATGTAGTGTGGCGAGATGTTTCTGATTACTTCCAAATGCGGATTGAGTGACTGGATCACAAAACATTTTTATGTGACTTCCAAGTGTAAACAAGCCTTTAGTTAACTTAAACCTAGACATGAGTCTAGTCTACCTAGACTTGTGACTTTAAAGTAATGAAACGTCATTCGTGATAACCCTTTCAGTCTGCCTACCAGAGACTGCAGTTCAAAAGGTTTCTTAATCGTACCTAAGCTGATGTTTCTGTCTTGTTCAGGGTCCCGGATCATCAGGACATAGCCTTTGGAGCACTACAGCAGGGCCAAAACTGTCTGGACACACTGGGGCACTTTGCTGATGGGGTGGTGGGGGTGTACGAGTGCCACAATGCAGGAGGAAATCAGGTACCAGTCCGATCTCAGGTACAGGAACAGTCTTATGTCAGGTGTGGCAGCAGAGCACTGGGTGATGGACTTGCCAGTGAGTTTGGGTTAGTTTTAAAGGAACGATGCACTTGTGGAGGGTGAGTGACTTATAGATGGGGGCCACATGGTAGATTCTGGATCACTTTACTTGCTTTTATCTTCTCTCAGTGTGCAGGTCTGAGGGATTTAAAACTTTCACATTTGCACCTGGGTTCGATTGATGTGAGAGTTCGGATTGTTTGGATGATGTGAACTCTGTTTTCCTAACTCGGGTACACACCCATGAACTGTACTCGAGCCTGCCTGTGTGAGCCATGTGAGCTCCGGTATGGTTTTCTGCTGATATGAATGCAATCATTCATACTAAATCTCAGAAATTACCCAGTTTATTACTTTATAAAACTGTTCGTTCTCACTCACTTTCCTGACAAGCGTGATTGATGCACGGCAAGCAGAATTAATGTATAATTCAGCACAAATTAACCCCTGCATTCTTTAGAATTGTTGCTGTAAATTTATTTACTTCCTAGCAAAGGTAAAAAGGTTAATTTAACTAGCAACATGGATACGCATCTGCACTTTGTTGATCTAAGCGTACCTCGATTTGGACCCAAATAATATAATGTGAACAGAGATCAGCGGAGGAAAGGGAAGGGGGGAGCAATCGATCTCTGGTTCGGACTGAGCAATCGAACCAACCGCATCCATATACATACTTTTATATTTATGAAAAATATATTATAATATAAAACCTTTTTATCTTCCCTAATGGGGACTACAGTGAAAAATTAAAACATAAAAAACAATGTATAATATAGTATAGATCTATTTGTTTACCTATATATCTTTTTATTTATATGAAAATAGAAAACGGCATACTGTACAACATCGCTCAGAACTTCTCAAAAGTGTTACGCATGTGCATTTCAGAAAGTAGCAGCATTTCACCAAGCTGTTTTTGTTCAAATGTCTATGTATTTGTGTGGAATAAGTGTATTTACTGCACATGCTCCCTGCTTATGTTTCTGTGAAACAGGAATGGGCCCTGACTAAAGACAAATCCGTCAAACACATGGACCTTTGCCTGACGGTGGTGGATCGCACCGCTGGCTCACAGATCAAGCTGCAGGGCTGCAGGGAGAACGACAGCAGACAGGTGAGCATGCTGTGCTCAAAGCAGGGGTTTGGAGGAAGTGCTGCTTCTCAGATTTTCAACATCATCCTCATTATTTTTCTGTCGCAGAAATGGGAGCAGATCGACAACAACTCCAAACTACGGCACGTCGGCAGCAACCTGTGCCTGGACAGCCGGAATGCGCGGAACGGCGGTCTGACGGTGGAGGTGTGCAGCCCGTCGCTCACCCAGCAGTGGAAGTTCACTCTCAACCTGCAGCCGTAGATCGACACCGCCCATCCCAACCCTCCCCTTCTCGCCCTCGGGCACGCACTCGCCCCTCAGAGATAATCGCTGCCCAGATACAGACTCGGGGCCGCCACGGTGCGGTCTGGTGGTCCTCAAGGGCCACGGGGCAACGAAAACACAAACAAGATGATGATGACTATTTCCATCTAACTATATACCTCACTGTTTCATCTGTTGTCCAGCTCTTGGAAAGTGAATCTTAAGTGTCTAAACTTTATCGGATCTATTTTTGGAGTTTTTCTTCCCCGTTTCCGATGCAAAGGATCCATTTTTTTTTTTTGGTTTGGTCTTTTCTTATTTTTTGCCTTTTCACGTCTCATTTTCATATTCCAGCACATTTTCTTTTTTACAATAGACATCCATTTTTCTTTTATTTTTGTAGTCATGTTACCAATATTGTTGAATGTAAATGACGTTTTATGGAGGCTCCCTTCCTGCGCTGTGATTGGACTGGATTTCAAGACGGTTGTAGTTTGGGTTTGGTTCCATTTGAGGGCTCATGGGATTGAAGGGAGGACTCATTTATTGCGCGCACCGACACGGACACACTTTGACTGTGGAGGACCGCTCACGGCGCGCACAGGAAGCAGAAAAAAAAATCGAGACCTTTTTTGTTGTTTTCTTGTTTTAATTAAATCGTCAATCTGTCTTTTTTCTGTTTAAAGGTGCAATGTGTAAAGATTCATCCCACTTTTTCCGTAAGGGCCCCTGGTGTGTTCTGAAGGAGAACCGAGGCATTGTACAGAACGTGACTGCTGGATTCACATACTGTAGCACTGGCTGCTAACAAATCTAAAACGTCTTCAAAAACGAAACAAACGTTTCTCAGCCACATTTTTCTCAGTAATCATTTATTCCTTAATTCTATGTAGCCTTTATTTACGTCGACAAGTGTATTATGTAAAATAATCATGGTAATTCCCAGCAGAGGCTGATCTGAAGCTTTGCTCATGTCTTTAGGTTTTGAGCAAAGGTGGATGTGTGTGTTACTCCTCATCTTCCATGATTTCTTTTGACTTTGTGCAGTATGTGTTCTGGATCATAACATGGGCATTGGAAAGTCCCCTTTCCTGCCTCCTTAAAGTCCTGGATGTTTTATTCTCAAGATCAGTCATGATCCTCAGCAGCTTTGGCCAAACCTGGCACATTACGTCATTACTTGAGCATCCTCCTTCTTTAGTTACTGCCTTTGTTATCCATGATACTGTAAAGAAAATGTGAGGGTTTTTTTTTGTGCGAGTGTGTTTCTAAGCAGCTTTCAAAATGCGCATTTGAGAAGCATATGGACTCACAATGGAGAAACGCAACACGGTTTGTTTGTGTGTGTCCTTTTAATTACCAATTAATTCATCACCCGAAATACTTTTATCACATCCAAACCTTGTAAATTATTGTGGTACTTGAGTTGATCTTAACAGAACTTATTACTGTAAATCCAACAGACAAAGAAGCCTGTGATATGTGAAACCCAATCAGTTAACCCACCTACCTTTCATGTATAACGCCGTAGCATTCCGACTAACTTATTGTAGGCTAGGAAATCCAGACTAAATGAGTCCCTGACTGCCTTTCGGTCAGCTCTCCTCATGTATCAGCAGTAAGTGTTATGTTAATCTTAGACTTGTATATGTTCGAATTGTCTGCACCACCCTGTGCTGTCCCAGAATCCCAGTTCTCCATTAGAGAGGATGAAGACTGCAACAGAAACACGAGGAAGAAAATCACTATTTTATTGCCGTGTTCTGTGGCGTCATCAGGTTTCCTGTAGACAGATGAGTCTGCTGGACGGGAAAGCAGGTGTAGATGTGGACTGCACTTTTTCCATAGCGAATCACACCACCTTTCTCCATTAAAAGGAGAGGCCTATGAAATGGTTTAAAGTTTGGGCTTTGAACAATTCTTTTTTTTTTTTTTTTTTTTTTAAGAACACAGCCAAATTTGGAGCAATATATGATGGCTAATCTATGAATTGGATGAAATGTTTACATAGCACAGTGTGCCAAAGTCAGTTGCTGTTTGATTGAATATGGAAACACTTTTTCTCCAGACTAGGACTGTTTCATTTTTAGTAAATGAAGGACGTGACCCCACCTTTTTTTTGTCTCTTTAGTTTCCTCGAAAGCCAATTTTAGGAAAATCTTGATGTCGCATTAAACGGCAAAGGAAACAGCATGGGGTCAACAGTTGTGGTGTATATGTGTGTATATACAGTATGTATGTCCATGCATGTACATTTACACATTCAGTTGCAGTTATAGTGATTTGGTCAACTGTACAGCGCTTGTGTTTGTTCATTGTTTTATAGATATTGCAAAAGTTTGAATGACGGGAAATAATTAACTTAAATAAAAAAAAAAATTATATACATATCCAGTGTCATTTAGTGTTGTCGCATATTAACAAAGCTAAAAGGAAAATAAATAACTGCATAAAAATCAGAGTCATGTTCTACTCCGAAAACATTTTTTTTATAAACGACATTTAATAGTGTGCAAATTGGTGTAAACTCACATAGAGGCAGGGAGGTGAAGCATGTACACAGTGAGGGTGAACATTACAACACAGATACTCTCACATACAGCTTAATCATTTCAACATTCACAGTGAGAAGACAAGTGAAGCTACACCAAGCATTTTACAGCAAGACACGGCACATTCACAACATTCATACATGAAAATAGATACGTGTCCAACACTGGGTTCTAGTTAAACTGATCAGATATTGAGGAATTTGGTCCTGTAAATACGTATTTGCAGATTAGATAGTTGACATAGCTGTTCTATTATTAAAATGACGACTTTTTTTTTTCAACCTGCTATCATGCCACATGAAGCTGGCCCTAAAGGTATATCATACAATGTTAGCAGGCCAGTGTAAAATCAGGAATTTTGCTAATTGGAAGTTTTTTTCATAATGCACTGCACCAGCAAGAGCTTTAATATTTTCTGGCTTACAGAGTATATTCTTGGCAGAGATGTCCATAGCACCCGAACCGATCTCCTACTATATATTGCACAGTAGATGTTATAGTTACAAAACCCTGAGGTCACCCAAGATAAGGTCAAACATCTCTCTCATGCCATTAGGGTTCTCTGTTTGCCTGAAAATAATTCCCACTGCGGTACAAACACCCCAAAAGATGCTCTGAAAAACACGGAAATGCAATCTCAAAATCATCTGTTGCAGTTTATATTATAAGCACAGATGGCAGTTGGCGCCTGGATTGAATTTGTTAGTATATTGACTATGTATTTGTTGATTAGATTAGTTGTAGAAAAATATTAAAATGTGAATAAAATGTTTGCAACATTCATGACAAAACAAAACATATGAGCACAGCTGCAGCATAAGTGATACAACATTGCATTTGTTTTAAAACAAAAGATAAAATATGTATAAAATATGGCGTATTCGTTGTGGTAAATTACAAGGTAGACGTTTTGTACAGATTTCTATTGACTGAAACCAGGAATATTTTTAAGTGACGTTCGGTAGTTTACATCCAAATTGGTTTGTTAGTCTGCAGCGTTTCACTCGGTAAATAAAAGAAAAGCCAAGGAAATAGTAAGCAAGTCTGGGACGTTGAAAAGACAAATTTGCTCCCAATATTAGGCTAAATCTGTCACTTACAGTGGTCCTTATCCAGTATGAATAAAACAGTGATGCGGTGGGAGATGTTTGAAATATATTACCTGAGGGAAATCTTCTAAAATGAATCTGCTTCAGTTCTTCGAAGGGATAAATTACGCCATGCACTGCGAATGTATCTGTCATACAGTTACAATATAGCGGCATGGAGAATTGATATTATTAAAGATTCTGGAACAACAAAGCCACATAAATCCACCCAGTTACAGGTAGAGGAACATTCTAGTTAAAAGTCTTTTATAATTACATTCATTTCCCTTGTATTCATTCGCATCAATGCCCTAAAATGACACAATAAAAATATATCAATTAATTAATAGAAACCATATTTACATTATTTTTGGTATACTACTATTACTGTATATGGGGCCCTTTTACTAGATTTATATATAATTTCAATGACAAAATTATATGTATATTAATGAAAGGCAGACAAATGATTTTATATGTTATGTTGGAATCAGATTTGATGGGAAATATGATTTGGGATCAATATTATTGAAAATCAAGTGACTTTTGCGAATCCTGGCGGCTACTTCCAAGTGCAAAAAAGACTGGGAAAGCATAGTAGTGCCACGTTTATGGTTATCCGTGTGGCATTATACATCACTAATGTTGTTGCCTTTAAAAAAAAGAGTTATAAAGATAAGATATTAAGTGATATAAAATAGAAAAAATCCCAGATATTTAGAAGAACATCTACTGTGTTCTGTGATCTAACATGTGAATTGCATTACATTCTCATTTTGCTGATAAAACACCTTAATCACCAAGTATATACAGTATATTTATCAGTACTGAATGTTGGATATGCTGCTCACAAACAGAGAGAAGTCACAAAACACCTTAGGGTTCAAAACTACGTTAACATTATTACTGGAACTCTATTGATAAAAATCAATGAACATCTACAAAGGGCACGTTATTGTGTTTCTCATGCAGCAAGTGTTACTGTGACATATGTACAATTCTCCTGTAGTATCCAAACAGACTTGTCAAATGGCCAAATGGGGTTACAAATGTGAGTTTAGATGGGAAACATCCCTTTTTCAACCAGACTTGGCACATTTTGCTATATGTATAGGGTTTGTTCATTCGAACTGACCCTGAAGTGCAGAATGCGATTGTATTTGAGCATGTTAGTATGAATGCGTTGTCATGGGTGGGTTTGAGACCGCATGCAAATCCTTTCACTGAGTGGGTGAGCAGTCGTCCATATCCAGAAGCTCCTTGACCAGCCTCTCGCCGAACTGTGCCCGGCTGTAGCGTTTCACGTGGTAGGCATCTGACATCTTGTAAAGAATATAGGCGTTGTTGATGGCGATGCTGATGGTCAGCCAAAACACCTGCTGCCAGGTCTTGTTGGGCTTGTGGAAAATGAAATACCTAATTGGAAATCATGAGTTTAGTGAATTATCAAATTGTTAACTATCATTTGAAAAATTCACAGAAAAAATCTGTCATTAATTACCCCCCTTGTCTCATTCTAATCCAAACCCGTAAGACTTTCGTTCATCTTCGGCACACAAATGAAGATCTTTTTATTGAAATCTGAGAGCTTTCTGTCCCTACATTGACAGCCTACTACGCAACTACCACGTTCAAGCCCCAGAAACGTATTAAAGACATCGCTAAAATAATCCATGTGAGTCAAGTGGTTTAACCTCAATTTTATCAAACAATACAACCGCTTTGTTTGCGAAAAAAAAAAAAATCTACCACTTTATTAACAATATTAATCTCCAATGAGCATTCATGTGAGCACGATGTATGTTGTGTTGAATGCGCGTTGGGGATTAATATTTTGTAAATAAAGTAGTAAATTATGTTTTTTTGCACAAAGCACTCGCACACAAATTTAGGAACTACTGGAGTGGATTAAAATAATGGATTATTTTAATGACGTATTTACAATCTTTCTGGGGCTTGAAAGTGGTAGATCCGGGGATGAATGAAAGTCTTGTGGGTTTGGAACGACATGAGGGTGAGAAATTGATTACGGAATTTAGATTTTTCGGGTGAACTAACCCTTTAATTAGTCAAACTCACTTGCTGTACTTGTCATCATATTTGCAAATGTAACTCAGGTGTGCAGCAAAGGCCTCCACAGCAAGGGGACATGGGATTTCTCCACTCTTCCTCTTAATGATCACCCCTAGGATAGTCCAGGGCAGAAATGTCAATCACAGTCCCCATACTGTGCAATAGGATGTAACATCAAATATTCAATAAGGACGGATTGTTCAGTTATCTGCTGTATAGGTTCACTGATGTAGGTATTTTAGCAAAGACAAGATGGAAGAAATACTGATCTTAGTAACATAGATCGTGTCTTTACTAATCACAATGTAAATGTAGTTTTAAAGCAATACAATCTAGACACAATTACCACCAGACTACGTAAAAGCATCACTTCTGCTTTAAGAAATTGTATTTCCACTTGATTTCAATCTCTAAATTGAATTGGCCACAAACCACAGGAAGTTGAAAATCAACACAGGTAATGCATTCTGGGAAATCATTTCTTCCACCCTGGTCCAGAAAAGATCATTTATTAAATGTTAAAAAGATTATTTTGAAGACAATGAGGAAAAGCATTGAAATTAATTATAGACTGGATTCACAAAGTACCTAAAAGTTGCGGCTGAATAGCGGTAGGATAGCAGTTTTAGTTCAGGTAATTTATAGAACATTTGGCAGAGATTTAGCAAAGAGTTTTCATTGAAATTGTATAGCCCCATTAATCACCTGCTCTCAAAGAGGAAACAGCATGCAGAAAAAGCTTTTTATATATCAACAGATTATTTCAGATTCCAGAGAATGAAATATAAGTCGTATTTTAATCTCCATTTTTGCCTGACCTAAAAAAACAGGAGCAATGTTATTTATTTAACACACACACACTTTAATAAAAATGCCATAGCATCATTATATCATCTCTGACATTTCTCATCCTCAAATTTGAAAAACAAATAAATGCGGTGATTAGTTCTTGTTTTTTTCCAGCTACATCTTCTCTCTAAGATCAAATCCTCTCTTTCTGATCCTCTCTCATGATGTTTCACATTTCTTAAAATCACTGAATTGTCTACCTGTGCATTTTAGAATTGAGTTTAAAATTCTTCTCTTTGTTTTTAAATATGTAAATAATCTGACATCAAGCTATTTGTCTGGGCTACTCTGTCCACACAATCCCACACGAAACCTGAGGTCCCCAGATCATGGTTAAAGAATAGCGGGGACAGGGCCCTATAGGCTGTGGAACAGCCTTCAGGTTTATATCAAATATTTTGTCATGAACGTGTGGTTTGTTCTTGTTCTTCATCATGTCTATTGTTCAGCACTTTGGTCAGCCCTGTTTGCTGTTTTTAAATGTACAATATAAATAAATACAAACTCGAACCTCATGTGAAGCTGATGTCAGAACAGATCAAGGCTTATCCAATAAATGTGAAAACCAGCACAATACAATGAAGCTTTGGCTTTTATAATCCCTGATATGGACGATATCCACTTAATCCCTGTACATCAGCGTAAAAGCAATGTAAGCTCACACTACTATAGTGAAAACACTTTCCAGGAGGCTTGTTGCTGCAGCTTGTGAGTGTCAATCGTACTTTGCATGTTTCCTTTCATTATAAACTGTTGAAACTGTATCATTTAAACAAGAAGAAACATACTATATGGCTGTCCTGTGTGTGTTTTTCGTACCTTCTTTGGTGGGAGAGTAGGCGTTAGTGAGGAACCTAAAGTTGCCTTTGTTGTACCAGTTGATTATGGACGTATTGCCTCTCATCATAACGTGAGACTGGCCACGTTGCTGTGGAGCCTCAGTATTGATCAGCATAGACTGAGGAAGACCTGTACAATCACTCTTCCTGGTGCTCAGCAACCCACAGCCGTAGATGCCTGCAGGAGATAGAATGTAGAAAAGAAAAGTAAATAATCCATTTCTGGAGAAGGTTGATAATTCATATTCAGCCTGAGCAATGAGCATTCAAAGTCACATCTGAAAGCTGATTGGATGAATAGAGGTCATATCTATGAAGCTGTGAGCAGATGTCTTTTCCTCAGCACTGCCAGATGCTGCAGCCTGAATGCGGCCTAGTCTGATTGAGATATGATGATAATTACTCGTATTCATCCTCCCTGAAAGGGAAGGTGGCAACTGCGTGACCGTTCTTTCCTTGAAGATTTCCATTCTCATATGCATCTCCATTTTATATATGCAATGAAGTCAAATGTCCTGGAGGATTCACTCAAGAAAATTTGGACTACTTTGACATTTATTGCTGAGAGGTTTCATCACTCCGAAGGAACGAATTTTTGGACATTTGCCAGCAGTTAAACTCATGACAAAATATCACATCTTTCAAATCTTTGGAGATCACTTACCTGATGTTGTGTGAAAAAAGCTGGGCTAAAAATGTTGAGGAAACTACTCTGAAGTCGGCATGCTGTCATTGATTTACATAAACTCTATGAAAGAACCGATTCACTGAACTGTACACTATTGTTTAGCCAACTGATATCCCGTTCGCTCTTTATATCAATAGACCATTTTGTCAGCAATTCGTCATGCTTTTTTGCATTTTAACTTGAGCGTGTAATTTTCAGCCTGCGTGTTGAATGAAGCTGGTACATTCGAAAAGACATTCAATTATGACCTAGATCTCAAATAATGTAAATAAAAAAATATGTAGAAAGAGAGAAGCTGGCCACTAGCCTAATCCACTCTAGCTGTGTTAACATTTACTCCCAGCTGGAGGCATTCAAATAATCTTAGAGTATGAAACACGTTTGCTGTGAGAACTCAAGGTCAACTTCCTCTTACTCTCTCCATTTATTCCTTGCCTAGGATGCTGTCATCGTGTAATTAAAAACTGCAGGGGATGTGGAACATCAGATGGAGAGAAGATTAAAGTGATGGGGAAAAAAGAAGAAGCAGAGCCAAGGCAGAATTCACTGAGAGAAGTAGAGCAGATAAAGATGCAAGGGATTGACAGATGCAGCACTGTTGCACACACATTGCAGCACCTACCCTGCTTCTCAAATTCCTGAAACAAGTTTAGACTTGTGATGCTTGGACCAGTGAAGATGATAGCATTACGGCCAGCCAGATTCTGACAGAGCTGCTTGGCCACCAGACTGTGAAGCTGTGGTTTATTCTTCAGTGTGTCCAAACCATCTGGACCTGGACCCTCCTTTAGATGGACATAGATCTGAGAGGGAAGCATGAAAATTGAAACTATTCACTTTATAAATGCACATTCTGGATATTATTGTGAATCATTCGTTAATCTAATAAATTCCTATATATTTTTTATTATTATTAAATATCCTGTTTTACTCCGAAAGTTAAAACTGTCATTATGTCCTGACAGTAGATTATGAGATAGATGATCTGTGAAATAAATCAAGCTCCTCTGGCTCCTCCCAGTGGTCCTATTGCCATTGCGCGCTGATCACAAGAGAGCGCTATTACACAGCGCGCCGTCATTCAAACCAAACTCAAGATTGCGGTGTGCTGCAGCTGTGCTAATGGCGAAGAAACAACCTAAACTGCCAATTTCTCGAGTGGAACCTGCTCATAAAACAAAAAAGGGTAAAAGGAAGACGATAAACAAGCGAAAAAGAAAGAATTAGACGGAGCCCATTGACTTTAGCCGCAACATGTAGATAAAATGTCACGCACTCTGCAAAGCAACAATTGAAACCTGTTGATTCACTGGCTCGTCATGTTGCTGAAATATTATCGTGGCGATATAATATTGAGGCCGAGGGACAAGGACATAAGAGTGGCGCGAGGCCACACCGGCCACACCGGTCTGTCTCGCCTCTCTCACGGAGGAGCGGATCATAAAGGAGGAGCGGATCATAAAGGAGGATAGCGACGACAGTGGAGAGAGGAACAGGTCTGATTTTATGTTGTGATTTTTATGTTCTTTTTTGTGTGTTGTCCGTGAGGGGCTGCTGGCTTATACTTCAATTTTGTATTTGTTTATTAAACTTGTTGAACGTTCGCCGGTGTTCGCTACCCATCGAGATTTCCTACTTACCGGTTATGCGCATGTGCAGACTCACAGTTTTTATTTATTTATTTATTTTTTTACAAAAGGTACATTTTCCTGTTATAATGTATATTTTCCCTTGTACGGTCAGCCAGCTGAAAAAGAATAACTGAAAGTTTCAGTTACTATGAGGAAAGGTGTACTTTGACAAGTCAAAGATGAATATTTTGTGATAATTTTTACTTTTCACACCGTTTTAAAAATAAAAACAGTAGTCTACAGTATACAGTAGCTACTCATAACTTAGAATTGTATTATAATTGTTTTTCATACGACTTTAATCGGCATTTTACGGTAGCATTTTTCGACAAGGCAGCAAAAATCGGCAGAACACCTGTTCCCGGCTCCTTTTTCCCAAAACTACTGAACTCGTCACAAATACAGGCCTACTAGCAAACCTTATCTAGCATTAGGCGTACATATCACTAGAATAATTACTTGAATTATATTACATAAGTTACGTTATCGTTATATTATCTTACTAGCTATTTATAACTTATAGAAAGGTGCAACGTTATAAACTTCCATTACATGTATTGCAAATAAGTAATGATTTGAGGACCAAGTTTGTAATCAAAGTATGGGCAGGCCTGTCAATGTAAAGCATATTGTTAATGTTTCGTCCCTACTAATGAATGTGCCATATAACATATTATCTGCCGTCATTGGTGTCCCTGGAGCTGTGGGGTAGGGCTGTAGCGCAGCAGAGAGCAAGGGGGTGGGACCTGTAAGTAGTGCTTGTTCAAATTTTCAGCAAAACTCCCTACTGCAGCTTTAAGTGGTCTGGGCTCAATAAAATTATATTTCATTGATCCCATCAAGGAATGCGCCTCTCTGTACTCCAGTTTTCAGTCAACCGAGAAGCAAAATATTTTAAACAAGTGAACATTTTTTTCTTTTTCTCACTAGAAACAATGTGGCAGTTGATGAATTTCTTTGTGGTATATCCTTGCCCTGTGGGAGCGTGTGTGTGTGTATTCACCTGACCGATGAAACCGGTGGCGCTGCACTGACGCACCCACAGGCTGAACTTCCTCTTCTTCCTCTTGCGCAGCTCTCTCTCTGTACATGTAGTAATGAACACAGGATCCTCATCAATCAAAGGCTCATGGAGGACCTGGGGAAAAACGGCATGTCTGAATTGAAAATTCCATTGATAACACAAGCAAAATTAGCTTTTTTGCATTGATAACACATGTTTCCCACACAAGATGCATGCTGGAATCCTGAAAAGGTGCCTCATTTATAAAGTGTGGGCACGCATAGATTTAAACTTAAGGACCGTTTTCATAAATATTACTGTTGGCGAAGTTCAAATATGCGTAGACTAAAATCCATGCTAACTTTCATATAAAAACAGTCCTTGTGGCAGTCTTTTGAAGCCAGGTATTTGGAAATCTAAGCAATTCTTACCCCTCTTTTAAAATTAAATTACACGGCGGAGATCTGAAACCATTCAGCTGTGCACAATTTCAAGGTCATTTGTGATTTATAAATTTCACATCTGGAAGAGATGTGTACACATGTTTTCTGTGAAACTATCAGCAAATGTACGTGTAAGACTGGTGCCAGACTGTCTGGACCAAGAGAGGACTACTCTCTGAGAGAACAAAGGAAATTAAAATTTGAACTGTGTCTTGGAAAATTAGCATCCCCACCCAAGTCAATAACATCAGTATTGTCTTAATTTACATTTATTTCCCTTTACTCTTCTCTCCACATGCTGAAATTCAACCAAAAATCTAGATGGTTTAATGTGAACAATTAGCATACAACACTATACATGTTTGGTATCATTTGAAATGTCTCTGCGCGACTGGTACAAAGGTCCCACAGAAGGGAAACCATGGCATGATTATATAAAGTTACCATTAGAGAAAGTTAAGTTGGCTAAGTTGGAAAGTAAAAGGTCATGACCTCTAGTTAGATATAGTCTTACCTTAATTAAGTGTGTTCAGATCTATGGGGACTAAACCATATATTCTAGAATAAGCAAGTAGTTGACGGCTGTCTAGAATATTAGTCAATCACCTCTGTCTAATGACCAAGACTGACTAGCTTGTGATTATAGACCTTATTCAGAGCAGCGCCATGACAGGTATGAAAGTGAGGCTGTGAGGGATAGACTTGCAGTGTTTCCAATGGCATCCGCTGTAAAAAGCTGAATAAAGCTCCTAGATTACTTACAATTTTCCACAGCTCACATTGTCATGAGTTTTTTGTGAATTAAAATTTCTTGGAAAGATATTTTTCCAGTGTTACATGAGCAGAACAAAATGAAAACACATTAAATAACAGTACAGCCCATTAAAGAGATGCATGTCTATCCCTCACAGCCTCGCTTTCATTCTCATTAAAAATCAAAGATGGCGCTGCCGTGAATAAGGCGTATTAGATTGTATACCAAGCCGGTGCGAGACTCGAAGTGTTAGAAATATGGATGAACGAGTGTAATTTCAATAAAGAGTTCCATAGAATAATCAAATGCGTAGCTATACAAATGGTCAATAATCAATTGGCATTTTAACCTAAATTCAAGGTTGAGATAAAATGGAGTCCGATCAAAGTACATTGGAATGAAACTACTTTGACACACTGAAACGGCCGAATGTGCAGTAATCCTCCATCCGCTTATCGGTAAACGTTGTTGTGGCGATTTGGCCTTAATACGCAACATTTCTATGCCTAAAAAGTCAAGTCAGGTATGATAGTTCTCTTTTCTGGTTAGAATTTTTATTTGTTTGACTCCGTAAAACCTCTCATCAAGCTGAAGCAGTTAAACAGGGCATGTGTGGCTCTGAGTGTCTGTAATGAATGCCTGATTGTTTGCCAGTAGGGGCTAAGAAACAAACCCACACTGTGGCAGTCAAAGTGGGCTGGCTGGCACACATTGTCAAGGTGATATCTCCATGGCACTGGGAAAGCTGAGAGACGCAGATGGTGTTTAGTTTACTCATGGTAGGTGAGTAATTGAGGGGTGTCTCTGAGATGGGTCACACAAGGCCTCATGAAATGCAAATCTCTGATTTAGTAGCAGAAGCTGATTCATTTAAATCCATACGTTGAAATATCCAGCCTGTTCTCATCCTTTAACGTCATATAGAACGCTATATGCAAAAACGGCGCTATACTACGCACATGGCACCCTTTATCGTTAATATAACACGCGAACCCAAGACGTCATAAATCCTTTAGCGTGAATATAACACGCAGACCCTACCCCATACCTAAACTTAGCCCTCACAGCGCGTGTTATATTAACGATAATGGGTGCCATGTGCGTAGTATAGCGCCGTTTTTGCATATAGCGTTCTATATGATGTTAAAGGATGAGAATGCGTTGAAATATCAAGCTAAAATTTAGGTTAATGACAACCTTAAATAAATAGTTTACAAAAAACAATTCTGTCATATTTAATTAACCTTTGTGATGTTTTAAATTTGTATGACTTCCTTCTCCAGAACACAAGATCCTCACCATTTTGGTTGAAAATTAAAATTAGTTTGTCAGATTAACATAAACATCGGTACTGTTACTTCAGTAAATATAATTTATTTCAGTCTTTACAACTTTTACTTGTAACGAAGTAATATTTGACCAAAAGTATCTGTACTTTCACTCAAATAAGGAAGTTCACCTCTGGTCATACAGGTTTGGAAGGACATGAGGGTGAATAAATGATTGAATTTATTTTTTGGGTGAACTATCCTTGTAATATGAATACGTTGTAACTGTAGAGGTTGGCAACCTACAATTTTCAGCACGATGGATATTTTAATTGGAGTACACAAAGAACCTAAAAATGTCTCAAAAGTGCACATCAGTTGGAACAGTAATTAATGGGGTTTTAAAGGTCAGGAGTTCACAGGACCTTAATTAGCACCAAATCGTCAGCACAAATGGAGAATTAGAATGTTTCTCTGAGGAAATTTCAAATTAATTTTTAATTTGTCGATCAATATATTCTCACAATCTAGCCTCTAGTCATGCTGGCCACTATCAAACAAAGGGGGAAAACAAAAGACCAATTTCTAAAAGAAATCCCTGATGGCCGTTTAAAAGATGAATGTGCCGTTCTAAGCGTTTCGTCTAATACAATCTTCTTCCGCTCTGGTCCATTGGCTTTGTTCCACTCTGGACGTCTCATTGTTAATCCAAGGCCTCCACTCTCTCTTACTGAACACGGCCCACGGTGTCCGCATGTTTGATTGCTGCTTTCTCCTCCTCCACTGCACTTGCTGGCCTATGTTTGTAAGACACCGTGGAACCCTGATCCATTTCTGGAAGTTATCTGTGATTCCTCTTTCCAGTTTCTCCACTGTTGAGATTGGAACTTTATAAATCGTAAGGGGGCACAACACCCGTGGTAGTAGGAGGCCAAACTGCAAACACCAGGCCTTCAATCTTCCAGGTACACAAGGTCAAAAGACTCCTGAGCTTATGAATAACTTAAGATGAGCCTGAGGCATTCATGCATTTAACTGTAATCTTTCAGAAAAGATAAATAATTTGTAGCATACATAGATTGAAAACAAACTAAGATTTAACAGACCTCGAGTACTGAGCATTGAGCAACACTGACTAGTAGCAGATATAAAAGACCCCCCAGGCCTCAAAATGGCACCATAAAGCTCCTAGCCATAAGACATGTGACCGGACTCCAGGCTATCCCAATTACAGCAGAACGTGTTCTGATTTCAGTCCCAAACACACTTTCCACTGGCACAGAAATTGAATATGTCTGCTAGACCTAGTTTCCAAAAAGTGAATACTGTGAAGATTTGTTTCATGCAGTTTTTCTTCGTACTGTCAACATGTTGATGTTTGTACTGCATTGATCTGAAGTGTCATGTCGTTGCTTGTATTCATTACCTGCGTCTGTGATGGCCTGAAGGTAGAGCTGAAGCTCTGCTGAAGAGAGTCCAGGAAGGGTTGGATCTTATAGAGGCCCTGACTGCCACCGTGGCTGGAGCGGAAGGCTACGACATGGAAGTACTTGAGGATCTTCTCGAAGCGTGCCTGGCTCATCTTGAGCGCGATGCTGCGATTACTGAAGAATCCGCTGCTCCAGATGCTGAGCACTGATTCACAACGGTTCACGCCAGTAGAAGTGACATAACCCAGAAAAGCCTTCATTTCAGCCAGCGTCACATTCGTCCATCCTTCATCACTTCCAAAGCGCTCCTGGTACTTTTTGGCATACATGTTGGTCTGGGTCACCATGTTCTGAATGATGTTGTCAGGGACAAACAGCTGGAAGAAGTCCATGGCCGTTGCATTGGCTGGCATTTTCTGCGTCGGACCTGCAAAGTAAAAGTTACGTTTTAACAGACTGATACATATTTTCTTCAGAATTCTTTCATTTTTTTAAGCCAAGGATGATTTTAATGTATATAAATAAAAAAAATTAAATTACTGTTTAGCACTGGAAATACATAATGCGATTTTGATTATACATGTTTAATTCTGTAAACTATTAAGCAGCTGATTTACATAAGACTTCAATAAAAACAGCATTATATTAATTCTCCGTATTTCTTCTAAATAATGATACTACATTCATTTCAATATTCATATGAAACTAAAACAAAACCAAAAAACTGGAAGAAAATTAAAAAATGATTATGTTGTTAGAAGTGGGTTTTTTTGGGTGATTTTATGGTTATGTAATATATTTAGATGGTATTTAGATATGATTTCCTAAAGGGATAGTTGCCTCAAAAATTTAAATTCTGTCAATACTCCACCTCATGTTGTCCAAAATACATTCTAATTTTTGTCTTCCATGGAACACACAAATATTTATTTCTTTATTTTTAGAAAGCTTACTTTTTCAAAATGGCTTCTTTTGTGTTCAAAAGAAAAAAATACAGGTTTGGAACGAGATGAAAGTGAGTAAATGATGACAGAATGTTCATTTTTAGGTGATCCGTTCCTTTTACTGGGCATTGGATGCTCAGTTGAACCTCTAATGACGTTTATCAGGACCCTCATCACCATCTATCTAATGGTGAACTAATGAGAAACACTACTTACCAGCTAATGACAAAAAGTTGTAGAAAGCGGCTCATAAAAAGCATAATTTGTTCCGATGTTATCTTTTACTCCACTTCGTCTAATGTCCGTTTTGTCTCTTAAAAGGCATAATGCAGCTCACACAGAAATGGAGCAAACAGGAGGAAAATTGAAGTGTCTTTATTGGAGATGTGTTATCATACATTAACTTATACTGTGGAAATAAGTATCATTTACAGTGTTGCTTAGTGTGAATATTGGTTTTAACACCCACAAACAACAGACAAAAGAAATATCCTCCCCTTATGTTATTATTGTAGTGATGGAAACTCCAAAGCACAACAGAGGCCAGCAACTACATTTACAACTTTACAACACATTTACTGAGAGTTACAGAGACCTAATGACCCCAAAGCAAGTGTATAATTAAAAAGTAATTAAAAAGCTAGTAAAAAAAATGTCCAGGAATCTGATCTACACAGAAAATCAAGTAGGGAGACATAAAACAGAAAAAGAAATCATAAAATATTAAAAAAAAATGTAAACATAGCAATATATTACAAAATGTAAAACATAAAAATCGAAACTATATAAACAAAAAAAAAAGTTATTTTTATGAACAAATGTTTCAGTCATGCTTTCCCAAGACTCTCGCTGTGTCCAAAATTTTCACTCAAACCACTACTCCTATGTAGGGGGTAGGGAGTAGAGCACTATATAGTTAGCTCACCAGCATAAGAGAAACACCACTTTCGGACATTACTCGATCGTCTCTTGGCGCCGTTGATTACATCATCTGTCAGCTGGTGCCGAGCCGGCTCTGGGCTAAATAGATTTTTTTTTAAATAAATACATTACATTATATTGACCTTATTTCTCCAAAATTTAAAAAAAATAAAAGTCTTTCCTGGGCGTTTCTGTTATAATGTGCTAATCCACACATGATTATAACTTATTTTTACCATCAGCGCAATGCATGATGGTATGGAGGGCTTGGGTTAGTGACCATCGGTTGTACACTACTTTTCAAAATTCATTCTGGGATACACTGAGTGGACTATATAGGGTATAATAATCATCACTATACATTCGGACAGCACTACAAAATGGCGAGCTCACTATATCCACTATATAGTGAGTAGTGGGTGATTTCGGACACAACATCTGTCATGATTCAGTCATTTATGACGCACATCTTGACCAAACAACAACAGCTGCTATTCAACCAGTAGCTCATCTCCCATTACGGACCTGAAGGATCTTGTAAAGCAAACACAATCTTTCCCAGGATAAAGTCCATAGCGCAGTTTATTATGTTCATTCATCTGTGCCTTTTTGGTATAAAACATCTTTTTAGGGGGAACATCTCAGGAAAAATGCTTAAAACCACTTAACCCAGTTTGCTAAAAATAGTTAGTACCAAAATCTAAAAAAAACATTAAAATGTCTTCTTACTGTCACTGGTCACTATTTTTAATTATACAGTATGTTGCCTTGTTGCATTCACTGTAAATGATCTTGTGGTGAACCAAAATAATTTGGTAGAAATTTTCAGGGTCTTTAAAGCCACATGCAAAATAATTAGAGGAATTGCTGTTCATAATAGTTTTACATGAAGTATAGAAGGACATGTCAATTTCCCAGAAGTACCGTCTATACAAAATATAATAATTTAATTTAATATTTTTATGCTGGCCAGAATTTAAATTTGAATAAACAAGTATAAAATTAACATGGCAGAGAAAACTAGGTTTCTAGGTTTGTTTTTATCTAGCTCAAAATGAGTTATGGTACTAAATCAAAGTGTTATGTAATATGCTTAACGAGATAATGGCCATACCACTTCTAAAATGTATACAGTACTTTATATTAGCAGAAAAACTGGGTAAAAATATTGCTTGTCCAATTGTAATCTTAATATCTTGTAGTGCTGCAGTGATATTTCATATGACTTTAATAACTGTGTTCAATGGCTTTTCTGTTCACACCCAGAGGGTCTATAGCCTATATAACACCAAAATGTATTTTTTTTCTCTGAGTCTTTACATTCAGTCTTTCTGGAGAACCATTGCAGGTGTGCTACAGTACAGTGTTTCCTAGATGAATTATTGAGAAGAAAAAGCAGCAGCCTCTGCACCTTCTCCTCTCCACTATACAAATAAGCAAGCTAGTATAAATCGATCTTATCTTTTTAGATCTTACAGCAGGTGCTCAATTATATTATATGGCCCTTAAACAGTCCAAGCAGTGTCTCATTTAAAAAAAAATGTGTCAAAAAACTGTTGGGGATGACAAAGATCTGTTTACAGCTTAAACACTTGGTTTATTATAATTCAATCATTTTCAAATGACTTGTTCAAGAAATTGTTAGATGATATGCTTTAACACGATCTCCAAAGGTTGAAAGCGAAAGCACAAAATCTGACCCGACCTGAATAATATCGACCTTATATAAGTTTCACATTCAGGCTACAGTCTTGTGCCAGACAAGGACAATTCAATTACCTTTCACAAATAACACTGACACATCGTTCCGTCTTTCAGCATCCACAAGTGTCGCATCTTCTTAAATGAGCCATGACATAAAATGCAAAATGTCGGTGCTCTTTGTGTACTAGCTTTCCTTACTGATTTTACAGCGTGTGCCAAAGCAAAGGCAGTCACCAGATGGCTCATTTTCCCTCTATGGTGACAGACAGAACTTTCTGAGCAACCACGATGGATAGATGTGTCATTTATATCAGCAGCACGGCAATTTGGAAAATGCCCAAACCAAAACAATACAAGAAAATATTACACAAGGATTATAATACTTTCTACTAAAACATCATCGTAATCGTGTTTCTCAGTGTATTTTGGTTATACTGTACATATCTGCTGATTCCATCATTCTTTCAATTTTCCATGTTTGTGCAATGATCTTTCCATGACATTTAATCACATACCACGTATCATTTAAACATGCACTTGGGTCACTTTGACTTGAGTGAAATGAAGCATGAAATTAGTATCAGTCTATCGATCCATATGTCAAGCGGTTAGGGTTGTAGGCTCTATACACTTCTGTTTATGACAATATTTTTAGACTGCCATTAAATGCATCATCAATGAGATCAGAACATATTATAGAATAACTGATAAACTCTTGAATATCCTTGCTAGTAAAAACAACATGTTTTGTTATTGATGCAAGAATGTTCCCCTGCACATTATGCAAACCACAGCATTTGAAAGTTTGTCTGGCATTAGCACATGATTATCTCTGCCTATGATTAATGGAGAAGTATATACGTAGACCTTCAATATTATGGCTGGAATAAAAAAGAGCCCTTCTCTTTCTCTCGCCATTTCATTCATTACAGGTATTTCTTTGACATTGTGCTAACTGGACTATTCTCATAGAAGCTACCTAGTGAGTAATCTAGTAAATCTGTTCCCTTAATACTGAAACTAATCACTGGCAATGGCATCACATATATTTTACATTTAGCAGGTTTAATCATATTGCTGTGTCATAACTATAACATAGTAATTTGGTGCATGCACAACAAAATGTAATAAACTATTAATACTCTCTCTTTAGATGATGATTTGCCTTTCTGGACCACAGTCAGTTTACTGGCAAGCATCTTTATAATGATAAGTCATGCAAATCTGTAAATTCAGTTCATAAAAGCATAACTAAATTATCTTCAGGCACTTTTAATATGTTGATTCAAGTTCACATAATGGACATGAATTAAATCCTACATGCTCTTTTTTCAAAATGTGACTGACTTTAATGTAGTTTTTTGACCCCACCAAAACATACTGTGGAAAAAAAAAATTAAAACAAACCCAAAAACACAATTGATAAAACAAGAGAACTTTTAGGGTGTACTGTACACCAACCAGAAAACCTATGAGACCCTCAAATGTGCGTAATAATACAAATATTCTCCAAAGAACAGTTGAAGTTAATGTTTATAATCAGTTCTCATATGATTATGTCATGAAATATCAACTTAATATTTTATTTCTAAATTAGTGTTTGTCCTTAATCTTTTCTCTATAGGCATTCAGTGTCACACAAAAGGCTAGACAGTCAGTCAGTCAGTCAGTCAGTCGTGAGCTTTTATTAAATGTGGTGACACTTTAAATGACAGGCATTAATAAAATCTCTTAGAATTATATGAATCCACCTAAAATGACAGTCTATTAAGTTTTAAACAACTGCTGACTGAATGACTTGAATGTTAAGGATTTTTAGATAAAACGTTCTGACTGTCAATAATGTGCGTGTGCCTGTTTCTATTCTGGTGTGGATTTCAACCTGAATGCACAGCAACTCATGGGGACTCGTATCACTGCGGGGATCTAAATTGAGGTCCCAATGAAGAAACAAGCTTATAAATCATACAGAATGAATTTTTTTGAAAATGTAATAAAGCAGGAAGTTTTCTGTGATGGGTAGGTTTATTATAAGGTGGTAGAATATACAGTTTATTCAGTATAAAAAACAATACCTCTGTGGAGAGTCCCCACAAAGATAGTAAACCAGATGTGTGTGTGTGTGTGTTTAGTTTACTACTGTTTTTTTTTTGTTTTGTTTTTGTCCTGATTTTTGTCCTGCAGTTCTTATTTGTCCCCTCTACGGTCGTAATTGCCACTTGTTGGATATGTTCACAGTACATCAGTTGATAGGAAATCATTCACACTCGGTGTTAATCCTCTCTAAAAGCCACCTAACCATTTTAAAGTGTGCATTTCTCAGAAATAAGAGCCTCCTCTCATCCACCCATGCAAATGACCCTTCATCCCTAATACAGAGTTAATCATAATCATAATCAGAGCTGCTCGCAGTCTGGCAGTGATTACACTGGAAAGCATGGTCAGATGGTCTGAAAACTCCAAATTTGGCCTGATATCTCAATTCCTATATTTTCTCTGCATGATTTCAAAGAGCCAGCTAATAATCACCCATGATCCACATTTGATGGAACTGTGTCATCTGTTGGAGCCATCTGATGAGAGAGATCAAAGTAAACCGGTGTAGTCATCAAAGAGTCCCATCTGTGAGCTTAATACTCATCGAGCATGCAGGCCTCTCAAGGATGAGAAAGCTGCATTGCATTAACATGAGGACCAGTTAATAAGAGCTGAACTTACCATGCGTGTCCTGATAGTGGGGCACGCTGAAGTCCAGTAGCGTGTCGCTCCATCCCTCCTCCTGCGCCTGGCCGTTGGAAACAGACCCGGGAGGACCGCAGCTCTGACTCCTAGTTTCACCGGCTCTGGCATCGACCGTATTCGTCTCCGTGTAGTTATCCGAATTGGAGTCTCCCGTTGTACTGTAAAAGGGGTTTTCGCTGCTGTCGTCTCCCGACTCCCCAAATACATCATCGGAAATCTGCAGGCTCTCGTAGCGAGAACGCGCTTCCTCGAGGAGCGACAGTCCCCTCCTTCCACACTCCGCCATCGTTTGTCAGTACCGACGTAGAGCTGCTACACCCGGCGAGATTCGGCATGCAAATGACCTCCTTAACAGCGTCAAATCCGGCATACAGTCTGTTGCACCAAACCCCTCTGGTTCGTGCGTGCGTGTCGCGGTCCTCAGCGGGTGTAGCAGGTCTCAGTAGCGGCGAGGAAATAAAGGTGAACGCCGCGGGAGCTGTCCGTCCTGAGTGGTGCTGAAATACCCCCTATCATGCGAGCTGAACCCCCACAACTGACCGCTCCACAAACGATCTCTGCATCCGGGTTGGGCGGGCTCCCCTCTCTTGTGTCATTTAGTGAATCTCCAGCTTCCTTAGAAATCACCTGACTCGGTCTCTCCTTGCACTGTCCAATGGGATTAACCTCTGAATAAATCGTGGATGATAGAGACAAGAATTATATTTGCTCTGCCACAGATACAGGCTAGAGAGCAGTGTTAAATACCTTGTTGGCAAATAATTTTTTTTCTGTGTGAATATGCAAGAGCATCAAACGAGTTCCAGTAAGACACGTTTAAAACATTACACACTTTTAGATTTAAAATTATTGTTTATATAGCTGAAACAAAGTGTAGGAAATATACTAAATACTTATCTGATATATCTTAAAAATGTTTTGTCTCAAGATGTACACCAGCAGCCTAATTTTATTTTTCTAAGGCACTTTTATAGAAACCCATTTAAATGCCATAATCCAGTCTTTAAAACTGGGCCATGAATTTAAAATATTGATAGCCTAGTAAAAAAATATGAAATTGTTACATTAGTGCTTGCAGCATTCTAGTCTTATTGAGCAAGTAAGTTTTCACCCTGCAGTTTCTCACTGGTTTTTATTTTTTATTATAACACCGGTTATATAACAGGAATAAAGTAATATTCAAGGGGATGCGCATTATAGATATGCTGCAGTACCGCTGAAAGTCAATTGGGGCGCTATTCACAGACAATCTTGCTTTCAGAGATTGTAGGGTTTTGTATTTTCCACCTAATCGTTAGCGTGTGCCATGTTTGCGGAAGTTGAATCGTTTACTATATCATTTGAAATGAAATGTAGCAAATAGCCTTCACGGTTAAAAAAAATACATTTGCAGATTATTTTGTTTTGTGCCCCGCCTAAAACAACGATGACTTTACCAAAGGGGCCCGATTCTTTGTGTTTCGACAAAGACGAGTTTATGAAGGTGGGTTTGCTGTATATATCAACTATAGAGCCTGTATTTAGCTGTACAGTAACTAACTTAATTTCTTGTTTAGTGTGTGTGTTGTATATTTGGAAGTACTGCTCGATCAACTTAACGCTGTTCAGACTTTACTGACGTTATTTTTTGGGGAGACGATAAGAAACATTTAGAAATGTCGTTCTTTTTCACCTCTTCTGTCGCTTTTATGATGTTAATTTGACTTAACACATTGGACATGAATTATTAAACTTTTAACCCTCACAAATCCTGCGTGCTCTTTTCAGAAATGTCACTGACTTGAAAAAGTTAGTGAACTTTTACAGTGTGTCACAGTGCACCATTTAGAAAACTTTAGCTTCTGGCCACTTTAAGACCCTCAAACATATGTAATATAATATTTTACATGAAGGACAGGTGATGCATGTTATCAATTTAAAATGTATGTTTATAATCAGTCCTAATATGATTATGAAATATCAACTTGATACTATAACAATTGTGATGTTCTCTATACATTGATTTCCTAACTGTTCTTCAGTTTCTTAATGTGTTTGTCAAAATCATTTGAAACCATTTTTGATGGCATTTTGATGTCAAATATTTCCATGCAGGATGATTTCGACGTGGACATATTTGTGGCTGATTGCAGAAAGCGTGTCCAGCTGGAGGAGATGCGTGAAGATCTGGAGCAATATTACAGACTCCTCAAAACAGCCATGGTCGAGCTTATCAATAAAGACTATGCAGATTTTGTTAATCTGTCCACCAATCTTGTGAGTCTTTGAACGCTATACAATATTTTCAGCAGAAATTATGTGCTACCAAAGATTGTGTACATTTTCTTATTCTACTAAGTACGTCTTGTTTTTTGCCACATACTTTATTGGCTTATTGTTTCCCTGAGTGACAGAAAAAGTATGTATCTGTGTTTTAGGTTGGAATGGATAAAGCCCTCAATCAGCTCTCTGTCCCTCTTGGGCAGTTACGTGAGGAGGTGCTGGTAAGTGCTGAACACTTCAGTGAAAACCTTTAAATTTGTCAAATTCCATTAAGTCATCATCTAAGTATCTTCCTCTCATGTGCAGAGTTTGAGATCCTCTGTGAATGAAGTTATTGAAGCTATAGACAACCAGTTATCCAAGCAAGATGACATTCAAAAAAAGAAGGTAAGACACTTGTACATTTTATTGTAAAGTACCCAGTCACCACTTTACACGCATTGTCCAACATTGTGTCTTCTGTAGCTCTGTGTGTTAAGACTCATCCAAGTTGTGAGATCAGTGGAGAAGATTGAGAAAATTCTTCATCAAAACAACAAAGATACAACGTCACTCGAGACCAGCAGGTATGTTAAGCATTTAGAAGAACACAACGAGACTCATCAAGGCTAAAGTAAAAAGAAAGAGTAATACTCTGAAATATTATTACAATTGATTAATTTTAATATATTTTATAATTTGATTTATTCCTGTGATGGCAAAGCTGAATTTTCAGGAATTACTCCAGTCTTGTAAATAGCTTAATATTTTTTGAAACCATGATACAATTTTAATTTAATGTGTTGTTTTTGCTGAATAAAAGTATTCATTATTTAAAAAAAAAAAAATCATACTGACCTCAAGCTATACAGTAGTTTTCCTAAACAACTTCTATTGATAAATGACTCATTGCTTAAAGGAATAGTTCACCCAAATTTAACTTTTACTCAGCCTCAAGCCATCCTAGATGTAAATGACTTTCTTCTTTCAGCCAAACAGAATCAAGAGTTATATTAAAAAAAATATCCAGGCTCTTCCAAGTTTTACAATGGGAGTGAATGGTGCCATTTTTTTGAAGTCCATCCATCCATCATAAAAGTAATCCATACAGATCCAGGGTGTCCATAAAGGACTTCTGAAGTGAAGCAATGCTTTTTTGTAGAAAAATATCCATATTTATAATTTTATAGACTTAACCCGGTAACTGTCTGCGTGCTCACGAGAGAGTCAAGTTCTGGCATGTGATGTAGGTGTATGATTTTAATCTATAAAGTTATAAATGTGGATATTTTTTTTCAAAAACACTTTATAAAAGGCTTTTATTAACACCCTGGAACTGTGTGGATTCCTTTTTTAATGATAGATAGATGGATGCGCTCTTTTGGGCTTGAGTAAATTATAGGATGATTTTCATTTTTGGGTGAACTAACCCTTAAAGGAAAGGATTTTGTTATAATTTTGCATTCAATATTACACTTAGCATTGTATATGAACAGCACTTTTTTATGCTCTTTTAAGTCCTCTTCTGGCAGGTCAGATCCTAGAGCGGATAGCCACCGAGTTCAACCAGTTACAGTTTCATGCGGTCCAAAGCAAAGGAATGCCATTGCTTGATAAAGTCCGCCTGGTGAGCTTCCAGTCTTAAAATAACCCCTTGTGTTTATTAGACACTTTATAGCCTAATATAACTATAAAATATAAATCAGGTTAAATAAAGTCTGTAATTATGCTTCTTAGACTTATGTGAGATGTCTACTTGCTTATTTTCTGTGGGTTTTTTTCTGTGTTCCAGAGAATAGCAGGTATCACAGCTATGCTTCAACAGTCCCTGGAAGGCTTATTGATCCAAGGCCTGCAGACGTTAAATGTAGATATCGTACGCCATTGCCTCAGGACATATGCCACCATCGATAAGACCAGGGATGCGGAGGCACTGGTCGGACAGGTCTTAGTCAAACCATACATGGAAGAGGTACATTTTGCATATTACTCGGATACTGCAATAGTCAATTCTAATTTGCATAAATGTCATTGTTAAGATCCCAATTTTATGAGCTTTGCAAGCACAAAGTAAATGGATATGTTATTTATCTCAATGGCTTCTCCATCTGTATATATATCTGTTATTTCTTTGTCAGGTAATAGTTGAACAGTTTGTCAAGTCCAACCCTAATGGCCTAAAGATGATGTACACAAAGCTGTTGGAGTTTGTGCCTCATCATTGTAGACTGCTGAGAGAGGTGACTGGTGGGGCAATCTCTAGGTATGACTGACATTCACTGTGAACTGCATTGAGCCATTGTTGTCATATTATATTCACAGCATACAGTATTTTAATGCGTTTACCCTTTTGTATGCCCAGTGATAAAGCCGACATTGTTCCAGGATACGACTTCCTGGTGAACTCTGTTTGGCCTGAGATTATTAGAGGTGTTGAGGAAAGAATCCCTTCCCTTTTCAATCCAGGAAACCCAGATGCATTTTATGAGGTAAACAAAGAATAAACTTGCATCAGAATTGTTGTTTGGTTTATTTAGATTGAAATAAATTATTAAAATGGCATACATCTCATTGAGTGGCTCTCCTTGTGCAGAAATACACTGTCAGCATGGATTTTGTGCGCAAGTTTGAGAGGCAGTGTGGTTCCCAGGCGAGCGTGAAGAGGCTGCGAGCACATCCGAGCTACCAGAGCTTTCACAACAAATGGAACCTGCCGGTGTACTTCCAGCTGCGGTGAGAATGACGACTGTGCCATTTCACTGCTCTATCTGTTCATGAGCTGGTGTTTTGGGTCAATGCAGCCTGGATATTCTCTGACCCAGTTGTTTCCTGCAGTGTGATATAATTTACTGACAATAAATAGTCAACACTCCAAAAAGTGCAGAGAAGGAGACTCCTTGAAATGTGTGTTCTGTTGGGAACCTGCTTTCTGTAAACTTTGTGTCTGTTTAAAGAAGTACAATTTTTTTGTTTGTTTGTAGAAAAAGTTATGAGTCACTCATGCTCATGTTTTTTTGGAATCTCATATGCTACTTGGATTGTGTTCTTTGTGCAATATATTTAAAGAGAGATAATCACCCTGGATATGAATCGATCTGTGTTTTAGGCTGGACAGTCTTTGCTCTGTGATGTTTGAGCAGCACCATTCACTGATTTTAAAGTCCACTGATATCTTAGTTTGTTTAAGCTGGTTAAGCCTGTATATTGTTTACTTTTCTTGGAATTATTGTCTTATAGTGAACTTCAGAAGCTCTTGAGTTGTTTTTTTTTTTAATGGTTTATCATTTTGGATTTGAAACAGTGTTTGCTATTTACGGTTGTTATCGAACACTTTAAGAAAAATACTGAAAACTGCACTAATATATTTACGATAAAAGCTCTTCTTTGTAAGTGGTGTTGAGGTATTTAATATTTTTTATCTTTATTTTAACTTGTTTATTTACATTTTTAAGTGATTAATTATATTATATTAATCATTTAGTTACTTGTTACAACTGACAGTCCAAGTGTAAATGTTCTCTGACTTTAATGGCCATAAATATTGGTTAAAGTCTGATAAGTAAAACGCATTTGTCGTTTGTTGCTCTGTTTCATTCCCCCGTGCTTCCTGTGTATCAGCCCACATGGACGTCACACTCAGCCAAATATGGACCTGCGTCATGGATTCTTCATTACCAGCCTGACCTTTTAGATTACAAATCAGTTCTTTAATGTCCTGCTTAATACAGAATTAGTATTTGTCAAAGGTCCAAAATCCTTGTATATCCTGTATGAAGTCATTGCTTTTGACTCATAAAAATTAGGGGAAAATGTATAACTGCTACAGTATGTAGGCTGAGGTTACTTTGAAATAATTATATATTCTTTTTTTTTTTAGGTTTAAGGAGATTGCAGGAAGTCTAGAAAATGCCATTGCCGATGGACTAGAGGCATCTCCAGGTCAGTCAGTGTGTTTGGGTTAATATATGTAAGAATGACCATGTTGACAGGTATATGTGGTAATTCTGTACATCTGTTAACCTGCTTTTTATGATGAATAAAGCTGCTCAGTCTGCTCTTTGTGTTTGTGAACATCAGCGGGCGGCAGCTACCACCTGCAGGTTACCGAGGTGTTGTGGAGCTGTGTGTGCAGGTGCTGGGCTGACCAGGTGTATCTGCCACCGCTTGCTCATCGGTTTTGGAAGCTAACATTGCAGCTGATCTCCAGATACGGCACCTTTATTACAGAGGTAAAGCATTCCAGGCCGAAGGAATATGAATCATAGTAGAGTTATTATTCACATCATTTCTTTTTTACCTCGCAGGTTCTAACAAAAACGTCACCTCCAGAGACTAGCAAAGATTTGGTAAGGCCTCTCCCAAGCTCCGCCTCCTCCACATCCAGCCGCACATCACAGGACGCAGACAGCGATACCAGTGGCCCCACAGTTTTGTCTACCAAGCAGCTTGTCTTCATCGCAGCTGATGTTGATAAGTTACAAGGGCAGGTAATTCATATTTTCATTTCACACAGAGCTAAAGTCCTATTTTGATCTTATTTGCATCGAGTGAGGAAGGTTTTCACTCTGTTCCCAGATTCCAGATATCTCTGAGATGATCAGGACAAAATTGGATGGTATTGGATTCAAAAACTTTACCTTAGTTTCAGGTTTGTTATGTGGAGTTTAAAGCCATTTCTGATTTTTTTTGAGACTAATGCCATTTCTAATCTTCTTATGTAATGAGTTTTTTTTTTCTCCTTGGGGGTTTAGAAGCCTTGCAGGATTCCAGGGTGTCCCTGAACAGCTGCGTCCCCACACTGAACAGCAGAATGACTCAGCATCTAACAGAAAGGAGCGTTCGTTTCCTGAAAAGCGCTTCAGAAGTACCGAGACTTTATCGAAGGACCAACAAGGTTGAGTGCTCATATAATATTTAAATGTCATGTAGAATGAATCCATGAGTCAAGATCTGAGACAGGCTTGAAAGAAAAAAAGCACATTTGGATTGATTTAGTATGTTTATAAATGATTTGGTTGACTCTTTCCCATCAAATATTTACTTAAATAATAGATTTCTCTATTTTCTGACTCTATTATAAACAGAATTTTTTTTAGCCATCACCCTAATAAGCTGTGTACATCAACACGAAATGGAAATTCACACTTTTTATTTTCTAAATGCATCCTGTTGATGAATGCCAGACTTCAACCCACCCTTTTAGATCTGCCTCTATCAATCAACAACAGATAGATAGAAGTCCTACCCTACATCTTTTTCTTTTAATATTTTTTCACTTGAATGTACATTACAATATAGAAGAAAAAGTCTGTAGCTACTTCAGTTACATATTTTAAAGGGACAGTTCTCAAAGAAACTCATACAGGTTTGGAGCAACATAATGATGACAGAATTTTCATTTTTGGGTGACTCTTTCAAAAAATGCAAGCTTTGCCATTTTACATTTTCCTCTACACACACACAGGAATGTGTTCAGTGCTCTGGCCTAAACTTTTGTTTCTCTCTCATTAATAGGAAGTTCCCACCAGAGCCTCAGCCTATATGGACAACGCACTTCGGCCACTCCATCAGCTGGTCACCGACTCCAAAAATGTGGTGAAAGACTCCATCATCCAGGAGTGGCTCCGGGTCACACTCTCAGACTGCACTCATAGGTACAGCAGAGCCATACTTTTATTAATCATGAATGTCTAGGTTAACAAGTTTATTGGTTTTGGCAAAATCTATATGGAAGATATTTTTACTTAAAAGGACCTCTGTATTTAATAGATATTTCGAAACTATATCGGACGTGCTGAGTTCAGTGAGGAAGATGGAGGAAAGTCTGAAGAGGTTGAAACAGGCTCGGAAAACAGCCACCACCAGCACCGTAGGCATCAATGCAGGACCGTCAGATGACAGTAAGATCCGCCTGCAGCTGGCACTGGATGTGGAGTATCTCGGAGAACAGGTATAGTTCTTGATGAGTGATTAGCTTTCCTTTTATATCAAGAGGTTGATATAAAAGCTTTGTACTTATACTTGAACTTCTCCCCCAAGATTCAAAAGATGGGTCTTCAGCCAAGTGACATCACCATGTTCTCGTCTCTGCTGGAACTGGTACAGGAGGCAAGAGATCTCGCCTCAACGGAACAGACGGGGGCCTAAACCACAATGGCTCTGGAGGGGCCCAGATCAAAAGTAGGGTCTAAAATGGTTCCTAATACGAATGCCTTCTGAACAACATGGCTCAGTATCTGCTCCAGGAATGGTTTTATGGAGTCCTGCAATCCCTCAACTGTCAGGAGAAGGAGCACACTAAAAGGTGTTTCCCTCTCCGATAAGTTATTTATTGTTGAACTAAATGGTCAGGAAAGTAATGTCATTTATGGTTCAAAATGAATAGAGCTTGTTTTATGAACCAATCAGCACTCATAATGTGCTATAAGCTCTTGTGTCTTGTCATATGTGGTTACAACAAAGAATTGCTCACGACGCAGGTGTTTGGCTTGAGTTGTATCTGTCAGAAATTGTACTCCTCAGATTTTAGCTCTGGTGAACCCTGCCAAATAGCATCAACAGTGCAAACGCTAAAGAGGTTTAATACCGTTTTCCTTATTTAAATAAAATATCAAGTGGGTGTTGGAGTTTGTTTCACTGGGTAAGAATGGTCTTTACTAAGAAATTAACAATAAAAGAAAAATGAAGATGGTATGAGCTACGTATGTGTGCTTGTGTGTGTCCAGAGTTAATTTGTTACTCAAATGACCTTGTTAAACATTTATGAAAGGTCAGAGACTAGAAGTGTGTGTTTACGCTCTATATGTAGTGCGTGTTTTAGATACAGTAACTAATTTTCGTTTTTTTTTTTTTTTAAATAGCATTTGTTTATTGCTCATGTGCTTAACTGATCCGTTATTTACTGGCTGAAGTACAGTAGATGTGGGTCATTGATATTACATATTTCATAATGTTCAATTGCTTTTATTGACAGGATTCTTGAATAATTTTGCATTTTTGGTTAATTAATTTCTCCAAATGTTTTTTTTTTCTAAAAAGACTTAATTTTAATTTTGTTTTAACATCGCACACATGTAGTTTGTTCATATTTCATTATCAATACATCTTTAAAACAACTTCAAGTAAATATGTTATGCATAGCAAACACCTCTTTATTAAACATTTTTAATTAGCAGACACTAAAATATAAAACGTCTTGAGCATCCCTAAAAAGATTTAATTCAGATTTTCTAAGAAAAAATATTCCTGGTTGACCTTGACTTGAGACTATCTATTATTTTAAAATATAGTTACTAGTTGAGTGGAAGCATTAAAACACTTTATATTATCACATAAAGTCACCAAAACTGAAATTGTTTTTAAGTTGTTGGATTGATAATTTTGCCGAGCATGAGTATGGCGTTAGAGTTTCCCTCTACAATAGCAAAGAAGAAAGGCTGGTTGACCATGACTTTGTGGGGATCCCTTCTATCTTCAGTTCTGTTCTGAACCTCCGATCCTCCCTCTGCTATCTCAAACACAACTTTGTTGAGAACCTGTAAGATGGAAAGAGGCACATAGCTTACAGTTTACTGTTGGAATTTGGTTTTCAGTAATGAAAGGAAACATGCTGACAATGTTGGTTAAAAAGGCAGAAGTTATTTGTAAGTGTAACAGCTGGTCAAATCTTGTTAAAGTCACATCCTATTGGTTCTATTTGATTTCAGCTGGTGCAGACTCTTGCCCTAAACACAACTTTACCTTGTCAACAGTGAAGTTCTCCTTGCTGCTCAGTCTTCTGAAATTGGCATCAGAGCCCATGAGGTATTTCTCCACTGCCATTTCAGATAGTACTGATCTCAGGTCAGTCACAGCAGTCAAGGAGAATTTGGGCAAAGTTAGTTCCAGATATCTGCCAAGAGATATGATAGCACAAATTGGTAAATCTGTCTTTGTCTTTAAAGTAATTTTATTTACATTCATCAGTGTGCATTTTCTCAGAGCAAACAAATACTGTCACGGAATGGTAGAACATGAGACGTGGATACAATTGCAGAGAAATAGGGAACATAGACAAAGAACCAGCTCTAGATTACAAACACAGGAACGCTAAGAATATAACTGACCGAAGTGACAGAACCATGACATTCACTCACTTTTCTTTTAGATGCCGATGCCATTTAGGTATGACTGTTAAGAGCTGCTTCTCGATGTGCTGCAGGCTCGCTCCATCATGAGGCAATGCTAGCAGCATATAGGTTCTCTTACTCAGACCAAGTTTGACTACTGAACACTTCCTGAGAGAATCATTGAGGAACATGTAGTCTCCAGTATGCATCATAAAGGGCACTTTGACACTGGAATTCTCATGAGTCCAGAATTCCTGATCAGTAGTTGCTTCAGGTTGGAATGCAGTTTTCCAGTTACCTGGAAAAAAAAAACACTACCTGTGAAAACCCAACCTACAGCAGGAGATTTTTATTAATTTATTTCATTATATATATATATATATATATATATATATATATATATATAAATGCTTCAATTAGTCTATTTCTTGCATACTTTATTGTTGTTGTAGTTGTTGTTGTTGCATGTAACAACAAAAAGGCCAATTGTTTTATTTTGTTCTACATTTTTTTCTGTTACCTATATAATTTGTTAATTGTATTTTATTTAATTTATATTGCGTTTCCTACTTTATTTCTTTCTGTTGCGTTCAACAGAAGAATATAATGTGTAATATGTATATATACACACAAAAAAAATTGCTGGGTTATTTTAACCCAAATTTGGGTCAAAGGACAAACCCAGCCATTGGGTTACATTTTTAAATAACATTTTTTAACCCAATGTTTGAGTTTGTCCATATTTGAGCCAAAATTGGTTTAAAACAACCCAGCATTTTTTTAGAGTGTATATATATGTGTGTGCATTTTCCCCCACATACTCGAGATGAAGGAAGTATTCAAAAAAACAACTTTAGAAAAAAAACATGCAATGTAAATTTTTGCAATTTGGGGCATTTCAGAACTGTTTTCACCTTAGAAAATATGGGCAAAAATGAAGGAAAATTATAAAAAATATTGAGACTTTTTTTGCCCAACAGTTTTGTTGTTACACAGCCAAGAAAAAAATAAATAACGCGAGAAAGATGTGACTCAAAATCTACCTTGCCCTTTCGGGCTTCAGGACCAAAGATCCAAATTCTCTAAAAGTCTTTCAAGATTCTTAATGAAGTTTATATATTTAGAAATGTACATGAGATGTAATTGAATGAGGCTGATTGTATATATTAGGTCTGGTTGACTGGCTATTTCTGAATGAATAACATCACAGCCACTCACCTTTAAAATGCACCGAACTAGCAAACAGCAGGTGAGTTTTTGCACTAACACCCTTAAACAGGTTCTTAACCTTGCTGTCTGATGTTTTCTGAATGAAGTTGTTCACTTGCTCCTCGGCATCCTTGGACTGTGAGAAGTCCACTGCTCGGACGAAAGAGTCGTCTGAGAAGTCTTGTGTTCCGCGTAAAAAGTCTTTGGAAAGATCAGCATCGCTGGTAATGAAAGTCCACACGAGGGTCCTGAGCTCATTCCGGGATTCGTCTACATGCGCGCTGATGGCCTGGAGTGTACGCAACACTGTGTGTCCATCAATGAAGTACGCACAGTCTTCCTTTTCTGACTCCAGGTTGAGTCCTAACAGCTGTTGGTAAGAAATGGCAGTCTTTTTGGATGCTCCCAAGTAGAGGGTCACCAAAGCGCCAAAGGCGTTCAGGGGTGAAAGCAGTGTGTTTGCATGCTTCTGTGTACGACTAAGTGCCTGGTACATGCGTAACCCGAGATAATTCTGCAACTCTGCTAACACAGCCGTTCGTTGAGTGAGGTTTTTCAGGTTTTCTGTGGTGCTGCCAGGTCGTGGGTCTGGCTCAGTGCTGTCTTGAAGAGGAGTCAGTGGATGGACGGTCTCCAAGGGCTTGTGTTGCTCATTCTGGATAACCTCACAGCTGATGTTTTCAGAGCTAAAGAGATTGAAGGGGTGGACATACACTCGATTGGCCGTTCCCATTGCAAAGCAGGAGACTGTTAAAATAGTGAGGAACATCTTGCTGGGAAATTCCTCTATGTGGACCTACGGGATTAAAAAAACTGATTTGATTATGAAATGGACTTGGTATTGCATTAGAATACTAACAAAACATACTGCACATTACATTAAATTACAGTAGACATATCAACAGGTTTTTCTTTTTTTTTTTTTTTTTTGTATTTCAGAACCAACAGTGGGCTTTCTGCTGTGGCTGATCGATCTTTGCTCTTCCACCCCCATTTTCACAGAATTAATTGACTAGTTTCTGTCTTACAGCAGCCGTACTGAGCTGCATTTGAGGCCAATAACCCTACTGAACCAGAGAGCAGAAAACACATGACTCACACTTGACCTAAAGGAGCAACGCATGAAATTAGTACATTCCAGTAGCTTCATCTCAGGACAATTTTTTTTTAATAAAATGCAGCATTCAGATAAAATGTACAAGTATATGAATATATTCGATTTTATATAAGATTTTTAAGATTATTCAAATATTTTTTTTAAGAAAATAAAACTTTTATTCAGCAAGGATTGATTAAATTGATCAGGTGACTCAAAATATAAAAATAATATAATAGCCAACACACAGGGTTTCCATTTTAAAAATGCTGTTATTTTGAACTTTCTATTCATCAAAGAATCCTGAAAAAAATAAAATGTATTATGGTTTACATAAAAAAATTAAGCAGCACAAGTATTTTCAACATTAGCAATAATATGGAATATTTCTTGGGCAGCAAATCAGCATATTAGAATGATTTCTGAAGGATCGTGACTCTGAAGAATGGATTAATAATGTTGAAAATTCACCTTCGCCGTGACAGGATGAAAGTATTTTAAATTAGTCAACTATAAAACAGTTACAATTTACTTTTACATTGTACTTATATGTATTAATTTTATCAAAATTAAATATTTTTAAATTAAGCATGAAAATGCTTAATTTTACAGTCCAAAATCCCAGTGCACAAATTAGATGCAGTATAGTTTGGATTAGTAATCATTTTCAAGCATAATTCAGCTAAACAAAAAGTCTTATCAGGATCATTTAATGTCAACTCAAAGATAATCAGTTATAAAGTGTGAAAGGGATAAAAGACATCTCCTGTTTACCTTCAGATGCTTTGCTGATTCTAGAGCTGGTGGACTGAGGGTCTTATTTAAAAACATATTGCATGATGACCAGTCCCCTAGTTACATATTAACACAGTATTGGGACACTCAGATTTCCCCAATGTTCAGCAGCTTCAAACCGGCTTCTGTGTGTTGATAAACAGCTCAGTCAGATACGACCACACACTGCCATATTTACCTAAAACGTGATGTCAGAATGGTCGGTGGAGTGAACACTATGACATGGAGGTGATGTTCATAAGATGAAAAACAGGAAACGGGGTGAGTCATATTCTTTGAACCCCTTATGTGCAATTGCCTAAAGACCTATGTCACAACAGGAGAAAAGGTCATTTTTTAATAGTATAATTTTGGCCCATATACATAAATTAAGATTAATACTTGTGTTTTACAAATGTTTAAAACATATGTGCAATAAAAATAGCTCTTATTATACCATTTTATCTTAATGTCTAATTTGAAGGTGATGCCCTTATGTGTTTGCCTATATTTAAAGAGTTAGTTCACCCAAAAATGTAAATTTTGTCATAATTTTCTCACCCACATGTTGTCCCAACACTGTAGCCTATGGGTTTCTTCTGTTGAACACAAAAGAAGATATTTTAAAGATTGTTGGTAACCAAAAAGCACACAGTTGATGGATCCCAGTATTTGTTTGTGTTCAACAGAAGAAAGAAGCTCATTTAGGTTTGGAACGACATATGGGTGAGTAAATGATGACAGAACGATTTTCACTTTTGGTTGAACTATCCTTTTTAACACCTTATAGGCTACATGTTTTTGTATTTGAATACATGTATATCCGCATTAAATCCATTCCATAACGCCTCTCACAGGAATGATTCGTAACTGCAGCTGTAAGGCGCTGCGTGACCTCAGTCTTCCTCCGGATAAAAGTCGTGTAGATGATTATCTATTTGATGGAGGTGTTTCCGTTTCTGTCTCATTTTCTGATGTAACGCAGAGGATTATTTGCAGAGGAACATTTC